TTGAAGGTGTTGCACTTTTTTTTCCATACTGAAATAAGAAGAATTTCACAAATAGTTGCTATTTTACTAATAACTCTCTATGTATGTATGTATGTACGTACATATGTATGTATGTAGGTATTTTTGTTTATAAACTCTATAATTAAATCTTTAAAGATAACTTTTGTTTACTAAATAGTTTAGTCGCGAATAATCTTATCAGTCAACCATAATTTGTACTGTATATACGCGTATATGTATGTATGTATGTGCGCGCACATGCCCGGTGGAAATAACCTTGTAAGATCTCGCAATAGACTTAGTGCTGGTTTCTCCAACTCAACTTAACTTAGTTCAGCCACTTTTTGGACTTAAGTCACAAGTTAGCCTACGTTTTACACAGCTTATTCTTGACTAAGTCAAGAAAATTGGCTTAACTAAGTTAAGTTGAGTTGGAGAAACCAGCCCTTAGAGTACACGACAAACTAGACTGTTGGTGACGGTAAGTAGTCCAAAGTTTGATCCAAGCACATGTAAAATTCTATTCACATGAAACATTGAATGTCATAGGCGAGGTGTTAGTTTTTTAAACTAGAATTTTTATTTAACACAACTCGAACTATGGTTAAAAGAACAAGCATGGCTTCTATAGCTATCACCTGTTTTTAACTGGCTAAGAGCTCGCCACGAGATTTAATTTCACTATGTGGTACAGCCTTCTCCTAAAGAACAAGTGTTTAAATTATACATATATTCATATTTTATAATTTGAATATGAAAGCCAATTTTTGACGTAGAATACGTCTTACGTATCGATATGGAGGCTATGTTCAAATTTTGTAATTTTTAGAGCTTCACGAAAGCGCTCATTGCACGAGAACTAATGAAGCGATTTCAAAGAAAAGTGTGGCGTTTCAAAGGAAAAGTTCCAAACCTACCGACAGATACATTTTTGTAAGTTGCCAATTCGGTTTCTGTCGTAGAAACAACGGTAAATATTGGCTTATTTTGGGGTCAATTTTGAGCCTTTAAAATGCTCTAGCAACTTAAGATTTGCAGATATAATTTTCATTTTCGGAATATATGTAGGTTCTTTAGAGCAATGTTATCATGTACAAATTTTATATAAATTCAATAAAACTTGAGCATTGTATGGCAAAAAATTTATGAAAAAATTTGCACCTTTTTTATTACCAAAATGCTCGAAGCCGCTCGAATGATTTGGTTTTTGTTTTCTTTAGTCAAAAATTCAAGTTTTGTGCTTTCATTTGGTATAAGGCAAGTAGTGGTTGATATCTCCTAAGTATGTTTATGTTATTCAAATAAGTATATGGGCATAAATGATTTTCCATATAAAATCACTTCGTAATTATTTTGCAAGCACGTGCATGCATTGGAAGTGATACCATTTTCGCTACTGGGTAATTTAGAAGGGTTGCCACGTGTTTCAAAAAGCAACTTTGACTTAAATAAAGGGAGAAAATCTCTTGATCTCTCACTACCAGGAGTGATCTTAAAAAATTTAGTCTTAAAATATATTTTAACTAATAGACACTAGTTTTATTTTTTTTGTTGCATAGTCGGTAAGAATATTGTATTGTGTTCATGGACTGTTTGAATAAATAAAATGAAATGAAATGAAATTTAAATGTAGTATATCCTGATATAGACATCAAAAGAGAGAGGTTGTGGTTCGAAAATATTTTGCAGAGTGTTGTCACCGTGTTACAAAGTTAGTTTCAATATAAGCAATAGTTTAAAATAATTACTTCAATATGAATATAAATCAAAATTTCTTTGAAGAAACTTTATTCCTAAACTGCATGTAGGAGGGTTGCCACCTGATTTTATAATTAAACTAATTTTAATATGTATCACAAACAAGTGTCAGGCGAACAAGGTTGAACGAGGTTAATTATATGAAATATTGGCGTCAAACAAAAAAGTATTAAAAATATTTGAATTGAGAATTTATGATGTAAAAGAGGGTTTCCACCTGCGTAAAAAGTTAAACTCAAATTATTTAATAAGACAAATGAATTATTAAAGTATGGGTATAAAT